GAGAGAAGAGAGAGAGCAGAGAGAGAGCAGAGAGAGAGCAGAGAGAGAGCAGAGAGAGAGAGAGAGCAGAGTGAGAGAGAGCAGAGAGCGAGCGAGAGCGCAGAGAGAGCAGCGAGAGAGAGCGCAGAGAGAGTAGAGAGAGAGAGCAGAGAGAGCAGAGAGAGAGAGAGCGCAGAGAGAGCAGAGAGAGCGCAGAGAGAGTAGAGAGAGAGAGCAGAGAGAGCGCAGAGAGAGCAGAGAGAGAGAGCAGAGAGAGCGCAGAGAGAGCAGAGAGCGCAGAGAGCGCAGAGAGAGCAGAGAGAGTAGAGAGAGAGAGCAGAGAGAGAGAGCGCAGAGAGAGAGCGCAGAGAGAGCAGAGAGAGAGAGAGAGAGAGCAGAGAGAGCAGAGAGAGAGCGCAGAGAGCGCAGAGAGAGCAGAGAGAGCAGAGAGAGCAGAGAGAGAGAGAGAGAGAGAGAGAGCAGAGAGAGCAGAGAGAGAGAGCGCAGAGAGAGCAGAGAGAGAGAGAGAGAGAGCAGAGAGAGCAGAGAGAGAGAGCAGAGAGAGTCCCTGATGATATCTTTAGGTTTCAGGACCGCGGTCATTCAGACCAAGAGGAACATTAGGTCCCAGCATTGTACATTTCCTAATGTATGTCACGAAATAATTTACTTTTTAAGGCTTGTAAAAGACTTCAAATAAACAAGACCAAGGGGTGGTGTCCTGACGGGGCAGCGCTGCATAGCAAACATTTCAAGGAACATTTTAAAGTGGACCTGTGCAGTGGCTGCTGTACCCAGAATAGGCAGGCATGGGGCAACGGACTAGTCATCAGTATTACCTTCAGCTGATCTTTCCTCCATTACTGACTTTACCATGCCATGTCCTACACTGCGTCTCTCTGAGGAGGCGACCATCTAGGTGGAGGTGCAGGGTTTTGCTTCCTTATATCAGAGCTGCCCCTCCTTAATGACTGATTGACAAATGTTAATTGCACCTAAGCACAACCCTGACAACTTACCTTGTGTTTGAATTCCTCGTAAGATGTAGCCGTGCCCTTCCTGTGCCTTAGGCCTAATGGCTGTATATGCAACGTGAGGTTATCAAAGACACTTCTGCCTGTGACTGCTAATGTGACCAGATTTGGAGTGACTTGCCGGAGTGGAAGCTGTATCTGAGCACATACAGTGCAAGAATCTCCCTGCATCTGCTTCATTTATTCTCTGGATCTGTCTTCACCTCTCCTGCTGGTTCTCTATTATTTCTAGATGTTCCCTATAAGTTACCTAGTCTTCTCTTTTCAAGTTCAAGTCCACTTTAAGGGCCCAGATGTATTGCACCTGCATGGCAGTTGATGGGAGAGCAGGAGAATCAGTTGGGGGAGCCACTGCACCCCAATACCTGTTCTATGCCTATAATTTAAAGGAGAACTATGAGGTGAGTGCTTTTCAAACACCTCATAGTTCAATGAGAATGTCACAGGTCGGCTCAGTAGATCGGGAGGTGAGCGAACTCATACCGGCGTTCGCTCACCTCTCGATCCTGACACGGCTCTCTGCCGTGACAGGGGAGGGGCTGGATTCCCCCCTCCCTGCTCCGATCCGCCAGCGCTGACTAGCGGAAGGGACGGACGGGGGCGG